GGCAGACCCATTCCTTTATAAGCTGACAGTTTTGACCACATGCTGACAGACATTCGAAATGCAGATCACTAATCACAGTGTGTTAGGACCTGCCAATTTCATCTTGACAGAAATAGCCACAAGCACGAATTACATAAATTCAGTCTATGTATGCAGTCTATAAAATGTAAGTGAATTAATAGGATATACATTATTGAAACATAACAAGACCTAATGATCTATTCACTGTGAAGTGTTATCCCAGGTATAACCTGTCTTTTATTTTGCATTATTATGCTATAGATACTGTGTATCTTATGGCTCTAGACTTGTTAGAAGGAGCTATAATTCTGCACTTGTCAGAGTACTCAAAACCATTGTGTTTAAAAGTCACTTCAAACCCAGAATTTACAAACATATTTGATTGGAAATTTCAACTCATTTTAAATTGTTATACTTCCAGTATTTCATTCAAGCAAATAGTTCAAAGGTTTTGGAATAAACTGGTAATTTTTACTTACGGATTATCTGTATTTGAGGATGTTCTTTCTATTTCTCTTTCCAGGTAGTAAGCTTTTCATTTCATAACTAAACTAGTGCCTAAGATCCATAGTCTCCTGAGGTGACATAGACGAGTTTGAAGCTTCCCCCATAATCAGCTCTTACCTTAGGCTGGCTGAGAAACAGATGGCTGAAGCTAATATATCCAAAACAGAAATGATGCTAACAGAAGCTGCTGAGCTATTCCATTGCTACCTTCAGCATCTTTGCAGAAGGTTGTGCCGTAGTTACACTGGACTTGACCCTGGTAGCCCCAGTTTGCTTAAGATGACAACGAACCATTTTACCCTCTCTTTCACCACCACATAGCAAATTTGCTGCACTTACATCCTGCTGGCTGTGTGTTGTGAGCCAGTGAGACAGCTCATGAAGTACTGTCACTGAATCAGAGAATCCTTATGGAAGGCATTGCTAGTTGCAATAAAATTACCACGAACATCACCATGTTGCAGTGCATGGATTGTCTCTGAGTCAAGCCTTTTCACCTCTCTTTCAGGACAATATTTGTACAAAGTCAACTAAACACAAAAACTCAACCACAAGACTTCCCAGCTGACAGGAACAACTTCTAAATACCGGTTCTGCTCACAGGAGAGAAACGGAAACAGCTTCTCTGAAAAAGTCACCAAGTGCTGCTTGCTCTAAGCATAGATGAGTTTCCATAATCATCTCTTCCTAATTGCAAGGACATTCATCTGTGAGAATATTGCTAGGCTGAACTAGTGTAGTGAACTCTTAGCATACTTCCTACCTCATTAAGATGGCTTGAGCATGAGGGGTGAAAGGGAATAGCTGCTAATAGTATGTTTAAAAAAATGACATGAGGTATTTATTAGTCATACTAGTCCCAAATGAGAAAGAGGAGCAAAGCATGTTAGAAACTCAGCTGCTCTAAGGAGCTGAACATGGTGGAGCTACACACTTCCCTACCAGAGCAAATGCAACATCACCTCTGCAGCCTCTGCAGCCTCTGCAGCCTCTGCAGCCTCTGCAGCCTCTGCAGCCTCTGCAGCTGCATGTTCGTGGAGCCATTCAGTCCAGAAAAAACATGCAGGGTCAGAAGCTTGCAGAGTTTTGGCTGAGGACTAATAATCTCAGCAGCTGCTGACTCTCCCTTCTACTCTGTCTATACAGGGAATGCAAGCCCTTCACACTAGAAACTATTCCCAGCTTCAGCTGCTAGGTATTCATAACAAATGTCTAATGGCTAAAACAGTGCTGTGTTGTGGACCCTGTCATTTTGCATGTCACATCGGGACAAGTGTGTATTCTCCACTGTGGTTGGAATACCAAGCCGTCATCCTAACATCATCTAGAGCCATTCTCCCAGACAGGAACTGCTGCTACTGAATGTAAGTTCTGACTGTAGGTGATGCCTTCTTTGTACCAAGTTACTCTTTTCTAACATTATAGCTGTACCAGAACCAGGTAGCTCCCTAGCCTTGTCTATGACTTGCATTTAAACCAGGTTTGATTCCAGTTTACAGCAGGACAAAGGACATGCACATCCCATTCCAGAGTCACTGCAAGTCTGTTCTTCCTAAGGAAGCACGTTAATGTTTGGTGTCATTGGGAGAAAATATGAGGATTTATATTGTTGATGAATGAAGACAGCTGAGCTGCTGCTGGCCGAAGTGAAGTTTCTGCTGGATCGCTCTGAAATGCTTTTCTTCAAGTAATCCTGAATCAGCCTTCTGGGAAGAACATGCCTTTCTACTGATTTACAGTACAGAACTAATCTGAAAGAATATTTCCATAAATTAACCAATTTTTCAACTCCCAGCATTTTGCAATCTTACAAAAATCTGCTTTTTGTTAGAAATAGTTTTGTTAAGATATAATGAGACGCCACAAACAGCCTCATAAGCTGTAAAGCACACAGAGAAACTACTACACCGTGTAGGGATGCCAGTGCAAGCCAGTGACCAGAAAGTGCAATGTATCCTACTCATGGGACCTGTTAGGGACACACACTGCACCAGCACCATGTGGGCCCCAGCACCTTCAGGGCACTTCAGTCCAAACACAAATGGGTGGCACAAATGACGTCATCACGTATTATGTTCAGACACATCCTGAATATGCTGGACTTAATGAAAGTATTTGGAACAACTCCATTGTGTGCACAGCAACAACTTCACTGGGATTTCCTGATATTCAGCAGCCAAGTAACTGAGAGGTTTCTCTTTGAAGTGGGAAGATGCATATTGCTATCCCAAATCAGTAGAACTGATGCATCTGATAAACATATATGATTGTCTGTCTTTCTCCAGCTCTAAATCTAGAGTTGATGGATGGAGATTTGAACTCAGTGCCAAAGGCTCATACTGAAGAGAAGGAAATATCACTTTCTTTCTCTGCTTTGTAACAGAAAAGAATACTAAAGTCCAGTTCTGGTCCTGTGAAAGGACAAGACATTGCATTAAATGCTATAAACCCTTAAAAGATTCTGGGATTATTTTTAAAATGACAAGAATAATCACATTATTTCTTTCTTGTCTCAGGACAAATGTTCTCACAAATTAAATCCAGCAACAAAGGGGAGTGGCAGGGAAAGATGAATAGCATTTGGTCCCAGTAACAGTCTAGTCAGATGAAAATATCCTTCCTATATTGGTATCTCAGGGTGTGTTGCCGGTCAAGTGAAGCCAAGTTGCATAATGTTCAGCCAAGAGAACACCAATTTTGGTGTGACGTGCTGATGATGAGATTTACTAGTGTGTATTTATGTGTGTAGAATCAGTATAAAGAGGCACTGAAATGTTTGTCATCAAGTAGGGAAATGGCCTCATCTTGAAATGCACTGAGATCACTTGCCTGGTGCTGAGCCACTAGTCTCCAATGGGACTTAATCACAGCTGAGAGGTTTTTGATAGCTGAGGGTAAACCTCACGGGAAGGGTGATGTAAGGTATCCAGCTTCTCAAATGCTGACAAGCTCTTTCCCGCCTGCAGTTTAATTCCAGGATTTGGCACTGGCATGTGTATTTTGTGTCCCCTTTTGTCATCATACGCATAAATTAAGGTGCAATTGTTACGGAGAGATGAGATGTAAAAGTCCTTTTTGAGTAATTTCTGAGGCAAAGCAAAAAATAGCGTCTGTCCCAGGTGAGAACTAAAGGTTAGCACAACTTTGAGTCAGTAACGCCTCTTCTCTCTGATGTCATCCTTTTCTCATGTATTAATTTATCTTTCATTTCATAATGAAGCAATCACTGCAAAGGTAAGGTTTCTTAACATTTGCAAAAATCTCATCTGAATTTTACTTGAGCTTTGGTTTGGGTTTCTGTTGAAGAAACCATCATAGAAAACTATTAAAGCCAATCTGTCACTTGACTGATCTGGATTTCTGAATTCACTTACACCTTTTACAGGAGAGTATCAAATATTTTTAAGGATTGTTTTAGCTCAAACTGCCCCTCTGAACTGGATGCCGAGAAGAAAAGCAGTTTACATGAAGTGATGCAGTTGGGAAAGAAGAAATAATCCTAATGGATTATCAAATTCAAGAACTTGTTCAGAGTTTGAATTTATAGAGGATCTGAGGTTTTGGCTTTCATATACATGCAAAAACTCCTTCCCATCCTTCTGACAGTGGCATTGTGTCTGAGCTTATGAATGTCATAAACAGATCATACCAAATCTATTCACAATTACATTTCTTAAAGTTACACTCAGAATATGATTAATCATGAACACCATTATAATAAAAGTAATGGTGGTTAATTATAATAAATGCAAACTTATACATTTACATACATCTCTTCCTCTGCTATTCCTTCACCATTTTACACCCTTTCTAACAGGACAGTGAAAGCAACTCTCTAATCCATAACCTCTAATCCCTGATACTATATTCTAGCATACTAAACTGTTCCTGAAATAAAACCCTTTAGTTTCTTATGTCATTTGTATTCTCCAGCTCCCACCCACATGTTTGAAAGCTTTTGAGGCATAATATGTGTTCATACCATGACACAAAAGACATGTATCCACAGTGCTGCAGAATTGTGTGGTACTAATTTGCATAAGGTAGGTACTTATAAATCACAAGACATTTCTCTATGACAGCATGATTTAATTCACATTCATACCATATCTTCTTAAAGCAATTGGAAACACTGCTATTTGTTTGTTATTGTATTTTCATAAAATGGTGTAACAATTTATTAGAATACTAGGATGGTATTGATCAAGTCTGAATGCAGCTGGTTTTAGCTGGAAAGGTAATATAAAAATGCCCATTGCAGCTCATGGATAGTTAGAATTACAACAAATTCTATGAAGAATTATTAACTGTATTCTTTTATTTAAATCCCAACCATCCCTGCACTCTGCTAACAAAGCTGTGCAGAGCTGGCAGGTGTTTCTATTAAGGACCACTGACCAGCTGAGCTCCTGGAAGGCAGTTAACAAGAGGAAATGAGAGAAAACCAGATCAGCCCCATCTGGGAATGTAAGCTGGTGCAACTTTGGGTGACAGTAGTTTCCTTTCTAGCTCTGAACTGAAGTAAGTGCTACCTTTGTTTTGGGCTATGATTGAGGAAGATCTGCTTGCCTTGTTTACAGTAATAGCTCTAGCCTGTTTGTGTTTAATTTTCATGTATAATGCTGCCTCAAAGGAGTTACGCTTTGAGATTATTGACTGTGTCATCTGAGCTGTCATGTAGATGTTTAGATTTTGTTTGGATATTTGGAATCTGTTCTTCATCTGGCTGCCTTTCCCCAGGGTAACTGGTGAAACAAAAAGTTACTCAAAGCTTCATGAACTTCCGTGTCTCTCTAACTCTAAGCTATTTGCTGTGCTTTAAAGAGTTCCCTAATGTCTAGGGCAGAAGATAATTAAGAAGATGGATATGATACCTGTGTTTCTCGTAGAGCCGTGAGAAGGGGGATAAGATGTGAATAGAAACCTTTAGTTTGTGTGATTGATGGACCACTCACTGGTCTTCTGCAGGAGCAGTTCTTTCAATGGAGTGGAGGGAAAAAAAAAATCTCATGTTTGTTTTCTTGATTAATCTGCTTTTCTCTGCTATGGCCTTCTAATTCCTCATTTGAAGGGAAAAACAAACAGAAAAACCTGAACCCAAACAATCCTGAGCCCTCAGATGGGTACTATAATGTTTGTCAGATTAAAAATAAAGCCAAACACCCCTGCTTTGAAAACCCTAATATAGATCTGAGTTCCTTTTCTCCCTTATTTCCTCCCTGATCCCAGTCTCCCCCCAGGCTGCAGAAGGGATGAAGGACATTGAACTAGGAAACCATCAAGGCAGAGGAACTGCTCTGAGACACAGTACTGCAATACATCTATGGAAATTACTACCAAGTATTCTAGTGCAGGGGGAAAGAAGTGTGTAGGGTGGTTCTTGTCTGCTCTAGAAACAGAAATGCTCATAAACGCCCATAGACAGATGCTCATGTCTGGCTGCAGTGGGCATGGAGGAGCTCTGCAGCTAGAAGTACATGGCCTCTGCTCTAAGGGCTTCATTTCCACTGATGGTGAAGAGTTGCTGAGTCCTGGGGGCAGCAGGTTCCTCTGTTCTTGTTAGACTGTGAGAGGGCAGAGGTTGTTGCTGAAAAGTGCCTGCTTACATCAAGCTGTGTTCTGACTGGGAGCGCTCCAATACCCATATTAGTACTTGCTGGTCTCAAGGAGCACAAGAACCATGATTAGAAGAGGTACCAAACATGGCAGGTGTGAAGAAGCTTGAGTTTTGCAGGTGTGTTTCCTTTTAGTCCTGCTGCTTCGCCCAAGTCAGATGGCTCTCAGGAAGCTCCGTAGTCTCTGGCTCTCTATAGCCAACAGCAGGTCCTTGTCAAAAGCATAATTTTATCGTTGACCTTTCTGAGTGGCTACAGGCCTGCAGAGGGGGTGGGATACTGTCTGCCTTGTATCCACAATGATGCATCATGATTTACTTCCCCCTCAGTTGTTTAAAAATGCCACAAATGATGCTTTGTACCTCCTGTGCCCGAGTCCCGTCACTTTGCAGCACCCAGAGCAGGTGAGCTGGATGACTAAATCATGCTTGGCTGCAGTTCTCAGCCAGAGCCTTCCTGTGATTATCCAGTATTGCTAATACCCTGCTAACTCCCTTCAGAGCTCCTTGTTATAGGTGCTCTTGTTAAAGACACTAATTGTTCCTTCCCCCGTGCCCCAGCAGCAGTGAGGCTGCAGAGGAATAATGCACAGAAAAATAGTTTGACTCATGCACACCTTTAGCCTCTGTACTCGGCAATGAGACCTGCATTTGCACATTGGCTTATGGAGGAATGATTTCCATAGCAACAGCAAGGATATGTGGCATAGTATGAATACTGCCTCAGAGAGCATATAAAGTACCTTCTTAAGAAATAACTGACTACACAGGCTCTGAAAAAAAACACAATTGGATATGTGGAGGAAGCGTTGTGTAACATTAATTTTTAGTGGCAAAAAACCACATTATGTTCATGTTTTGTTTTAAACATCACCACTTTTTAAAAAACAAGTTCCTGGGTATAGAGAACCGGGACTTCTGCTCTATGCCAACTGTTAGTGGATGCAAACAGCATGGAAAGATCTGTGGTGATTCTTCAGCAGCACAGTGAATTAATACTTACTGAAGATCTAAAGGGGAGTTACCTGAGGCGAGCATCAAGGGGGAGAGGAAGATAACAGCTCAGTTGACTGAGGGGGGAGGGAAGCAGGATCAGCTGGTAGTCTCTTTAAATAACAGCGTTTATGGTTATTACTGGGGGGCAGGTTTTTGCTATCAGACAATGGGGCGGCAATGCTTTAGTACTAAGGGGTGCAGAGAAAACAAGACAGGAAATATGCATAAAAGAATAAAACCACTTAATTTTTGGTTATGTGCATAAGTTTGTCTTCCCCTTGCTGTTGTTGTCCTCCTGCTTCTCTTATTTATTTTTCTTTGTTGCATAGCTCTATGTATACACAAAGCAGTCCAGTACCTGGACAGCCTCACCAGGATTCTCAGGGGAAGATGGGCAGATATGTCTTAGGTAGGCTCAGGTGTGTTACCATTTCAAGAGGATTGGCCCCTTCCTTCTTGGCTCTTCCATGAGCTCCAAGGAGATGTGTCCCTGGGCACACATCTGCAGTGAGCTCTGTGGTGCCAGCAGTGGTTACCTGGATACACACGGCTGTGCCTTTCTGGATGGCATGAGAGTGGGAGGAATTGCTTCAGCTCATTATAGGTGGAATGAATAAAAGTAACAATGCTGATTTCACCGCTTCCTTAGCAAGGTGCTATCAAATCAACTGTGGTGTGCTGCACTGCAGCACAACTATCTCAAAAATAAGCAGTTTTGTAAGGGGAAAACTTCTTCATGTTTCAGGTATTTATTTTAATTTTTTAGACCTATTAATATTGGGGACAGCTAGAACCACTGGAAATATTGAATCCCGTGCTTGAGATGGATGCTGCAAAAGACCTTCATGTGCTATGGAATACCTGCACCTTCCCCACACAAAGAAATCTGGCTGAGTTTGTACAGCCCATCTTCCTAGACCTTTTTCCCCAGCTTTTGAAAAATTATTACTGTTCCTGACCAGATTTATTTGCTGACTTACACAATCAGCTAATTCTTTTCCTCCTCCACAGCCTGAAGGTTGCACCCTTTAACTTTCATGTGTGCATGCAAAGTTAGCAGCCATAGTGAGAGATTTAGAAACATCCAGAGTGTGGTGGAAAATGTGACATTTCTGTTTTGGTCAGTTAGGTACTTTGATAGCAGGAAGATAGGTGACAACTGGCTGTTGACTCTGTATGGGCTCTGTGTGCAGAGGTCTGCCTGTAAAGCAGCAGCTGGAGGACTAGCTGTGCTCTCATTTGCAAAACCCCTTTGTGCTGAATAAGGGATCCTAGATCTGTGTCTTCATATGGGAGGAAAGAGCAGGGCTCTGGGATTTCTTCAAGCCATGAAACCTGGGTATATTAAGCCCTGCCCGTGGAGATCAATAATGGTGGGTTATCCCACAGTGTCTGCTGTTGTGGGGTTTAGATCTTGGAAACAAAGCAAGCTATTCTCTCTTAATGAGCATCATGTACTCCCAGCTTGTGCTTTAATAGGATTAAACAGTCTCAGCATGGTCTTGGCAGGGCTGCATGTACCCTAGGGCAGGAAAGTCTAGACTACCCTGTCTGCCCCAGGCATCCTCACCCCCTTGATGCTGGCATGTGAGGAGGACGGCTCTGAGGGCAGCTTGGCAGGTGTGGTGTGGCTGAATCCAGCCCTAACACAGGCTGCTTTAGTCTGGGATTGGGTTGTTTGTCCTGTAAGCATGTATTTACCTGCTAATTTGAGTTTAAAAAAGGCAAAAGGTGAGCTAGAATATATCGGTGCATGCAGTAAGCATTGTACTGAGGGATACATTTCTCTCTGAAGAGAACTGGGCAGGAATCATTCAATGCCATCTCGCACCCCAGGGATCTTTTCCTCCTTTTATGATCGGCTGTTCTTTTTTCTGTGTATGACTTGGTAATATAGAGACATGTAATATCTAACACAGCATGACTATCTGAGGGTGTCCTTGTTCATAGGGTTGCTTGTTTCAGGCTGATCTGTGGCAAAGCAAAGGAGATTGAGAGTATGAACCAGGGTGGGATGGCAGCCAGGACTAGATTGGTGTAAGAAATCAGTTTCACACTGGGAGCAGGGGAGTTGTAAAGCACGGCGTAAGGTGCCCCGTACTCTTCCTTCTCTGCAAAGAAAGTACAACTTCTCTTTATTTATTCTGATGTCCCACCAGCTGCATCTACTCTGCTGACATGCCAGCTCTCCTGGCAGGTCTTAGATATGGAAGCTGTGGACCTGCATTTCGGTGCATGTCCAGCAAACGTTGTGGAGGAAGAGCATATGTGGTTCCAGGATGGAGATCTCCTCCTGCTCTCTGGAAATGAGTTCCAATTAACATCAATGATTTCAGAAGACCTGTTCTGGAAGCTGTTTTGTTTTATCCCATGTGTGTATTTTCCTCGTGGGAATGTGTCTGTGTCAAGTCTATAAAATAAAATACTACTTTTCGAGAAATGAATAAATTAATTGTGAATACTTCAGATGGCATTGCCACATATGCTGAACAGAGAATAAAAAGGCAACAGCAGTTTGTAATAAGATTCCTTTTCCTGAAGCAGTAAAGATCCATACGATCTTCCACCTACCTTTTAAGATAGTAATAAAAATGACTCAGCTTGGCAGCACTTGTCACAAGTGGTAGATGGCTTTAGAATTTTTTTGTTAGAGGAAAAACATGCATTAAATACAGCCTTGGATCGATGAGGTATTGGCTCTTGAAATAAGTGTGAGGAGGAGGATCTGCCTTTACTGCTCTAAGGCTCATGCTAAACATGTACCATGAAAAGAAAGCATCTTCTGCTGTGAACACTACCTCTCTGCCATCTTTCTGGGGAGGCATATGCAAAGCTGAGCTGAACAACCAAACTAAAGAAAGCTCAGAGACTTGCTAGAGGCCGTAGAGTGAGGCTGTGGCAGAAATGGGAA